TGCTCCCCTGATCTAGGACAGCTGTTTCCCACCCTTGGTCTTTGTCTATCCTTCTCTTTCCAAACTTCACACAGCTCACTCCTCCTACAGGTCTTCAGTTAAATCTAACTTCCACAGAGAAGCATTCTTGAAACCATCAATGTGCATATGTCCTCCACATCATCCTCCTTCGACGCACCCTGCTCCTGCCCTTCACGGCACTGGACTGCTCCCTTTGCTTCATCAAGCTGTACTGACACATGGATTTGTGAGTTTACTAGTTAATATCTGTCTCTACCATGGGACCATTAACTTCTCATGTCATTTTATAGAGCACATCTGTTTTGTTCACTTCCTCGTGCAAACCTAGAGCACAGGACAGCATCTGGTGCCCGGTATCATTAACTAAATAAGGGAATATTAAGTAAACAAGAGTACCTCCTCTTCCCTTTTACAGGATTAGATAAATGCAAATAAGTGGTCTGGGACGGCAACCAAATAGCTGAGGACACCGCGACCTGCCACAGTATCGCTTCCTGCCCAGCCAGGGTGACCACGCTTGGCACAAAGGGAAAAGCAGTGCCCGACTAGTCTGAGTTGAAGAACTTCTCTAATTTTCAGTTCTGTCATGAACAACTAGACAACTCAGGAACTCTTTTACAGTCACCTCTACCTTTTGCCCAAAGGGACTGATTAGGCTTTCACTGAAATTTTAGAAAACACTCCAACACAAACCGATTTCCATGCCCCACCTAATACTAAGCAGACAGATTCACATGTAACTTTATTTCTGCAAATTTCAAATGACTCAAGCGTTACTAATAGTAATTCCTCCTGGTCTGTTCTCAAGTCTAGCGTGCACAGAGAGGCACAGAGAAAAGAGAAATCTTTTCTGGGACACTTGAAATTCTCCAGCCTCTCCTGTTTTTTCTGAAGTATTTTTGAAAGTTGAGATATAATTCACATACCATAAAATGCACCCTCTTAAAGTGTACAATTCAGTGTTTTGCCCAAAGTTGTGCAGTCATTGCCACTAATTCCAAAACATTCTCATAACCCCACGACCAGCCAAAATCCCACCTCCCTTAGCAGTCATTCTCTATCCCTCCCTCCCTGCCCTGACAATCACTAATGTTCTGTCTCTATGGGTTTTCCAGTCTTTTTTTGCATTCACAAAACCTGGAAGCACAGAGAAATGAAGTGATTTACACAGAGTTGCAAGGGTCACTTAGTAAGAGAGCAAGATTAAAACAAGAATCTATAGGAACTTTTAAATGTATAAAAAACAAGAGATCAGTGGAAATATGCTGATTTCACCTACACAGACCTACACAGATGCTGCATGTGGCTATATGACATGTGCTGTTAAAGCATTGTCCTTAGAACAGCCATTCCCTGGCGGCGTGTCTGGCTAGGAGTGGCCAGTGTGTAAGGTTAGTCAGGAATCACTACAGCGAAAGAGAGAGAGAGGCCACAGATGGAAAGGGGCTGCCCTTAGGACAGGGGAAGTGGAGGGTTATGTGGATTATTTATTTATTGTTTTATTAAGAGACAAGTTCTCGCTATGTTGCCTAGGCTGGTCTCAAACTTCTGGGCTCAAGCAATCCTCCTGCCTCAGTCTCCAAAGTGCTGGGATTACAGGAGTGAGCCACCACACCTGGCCGGTTATGTTGTTTATAAGGCAGGGTTTTTTCTTTTCAGCTCAGGGCACTTAAATTGGTGCTAACATGCCTGGATGTCCACCTGCTTCTTTTCTGTTCATAGTGGTGGGTCCCAGAGAACCCTGGTCATTTCTAGTGTGTTCACAAGCAGTTAAGCAGGAAGAGTGCTAACACCACTTCAGACACCTTGCAAAATCACGTGGGAACCTTGACTTTTTAATGTACTGCTGTCTGCATTTCCAAGTAAGTAAATGAATGACGAACTGAACTTACCTCTGTCACCAGCATAAATGTGTACAAAGGAGCATGATCCCATATGCTACAATCATCACAATCCATTTGCAAAAATAATTAGGCACATATTTTATTTTATGCATCTTAATCAACATTGCAAATACCATTAACAAAAAAGGATGGAAACCGCTCATCGCACAGAAAAAAAATCTCATCATTCATGAGATTAAGCAGGATCTCAACATACTTTGTGCTCTTTCAAATATATTATTAAAACAGCAATTCAAAAGGGCAAACAAGTCAAAACTAAATATTTTATTAATTAAAACCGAGACCCGAAACCAGCTAAGATTACACAACTTAAAAATAATCTCTAGTCTTCAACCTAGAAAAGATTGATTTGACAACATATAATGAACATGCAGGAGCCTACTACCGAGTAAGTAAATTTTCTTTTGCAAACAAGTTATTTTGAGCCACAGAGATCCTTCTGATGACTAGATTATCATTTTTAAAAAAATGACTGCTAAAAATGCCTATTTAGATAGTCAATCTACTCACAGACTTGAACACTAAATGACAGAGTAAACGTTTAAAGTTGAAATGCCTTGACCACCAAATATTTTCCTAAAACTGTCATTAATCATGTAAATGAACACAATAGGTCAATCTTAATTGTCTATAGCAAAAGAGAGCTTTGGTACCAATAATTTCGAATTAGGGAGTCAACATATGTTTTGTACATAGCATTAGTGCATTTTTGGAGTCAAAAGTGAAAATGTGCATCCTGTCTTTCTGTTACATTTACTACTGGGAGGAAAGAGCAGCCTGACCATTCGGAATTATTGGTACAAATAAAACATCAGCCTAAAATCTTTTCCTAAAAGACTGCTGGGTCACATCCAGCAATTTAGGGCAAAAGTAAATAAGGAATTAAGTATTTTCCTTTTAAAAGCCTCTTTTCCCTTTTGATAGGAGCACTGAGATATTAAAATAAAAATCACTATAATAAGTACTTCCAGAACATAACAATTTTAGTTTTCCCATATGACAGGGAGCTAACAAAAACAACAAACAATAAATAAAGAGAGAAAACTTAAAAATAAGTGAAAAATAGAATTTTTTAAAAGTGGACTGGGCAAGGGGAGTGGGTGGGTTTAGAAGAATCCCTTAGAAAAAACTGGTATTGTAAACCCTTAAATACAACCCAAGGTCAGCCATACTGCACATGGAATCCGGATAATTCTTTGATAAGCTTTAAGGTTACTGAATAACTTACAGTAACTATGAACACATTTTCATTTTAAGAGGTATAAGAGAAACAAAATATTAAAGACTGCATAGCAATTTTATTTTTTGAAATGGTTATCCCAAATGACTCAGATTTTGCAAAGACTCTCCGAGTCATCAAGTAAACACTAAAAACAACACTACTCATGAATACTCTGAACTAATTATTTATGAAGCATGCATTTTTCACAAATCTAGGCCAAAGTGAACTAATTAAAATTTAATTCTAAATTCAGCCTGTGATTTCTGGATATGACACTGGTATAAAATCAGTAAAAATACATTTTAAAAAAAATATAAAGGCATGTTTACTTCTCAAATAATTTAGTTTGGAAAATATTTATATTCTCAGTCAAAATATTACTCTTAGAGTCTCAAAGTTTTAAAAACAAAACTAGTTCAACAATTGTCAAAATGAGATGACTATAAACACTGACTATAACAACTTTTCAACCCACAGAAATAAACCACTTCAGGTGAGTTCGGCTCCTTTCATTTTCAAAACCTTGCCTCTTTTCCAGCTTTATGACTGGAATGAACATTGCTCAAAAGCTCCACATCAAAAGTAGAAAGATACACCATGTTGTGAAGACTGCACTAGGACTGGGTCTGAGAAGGGAATCACGTGCAATCAACATTTCACAGCTGCAAGGGATCAGGATTGAGCCCAGCATCCAGTTTACAGATGAGGAAATTGAGGCCCAGACATGTCAAATGACTTGACCAAAGTCATATTTCTCGGCTTGGCCATGCATGCACTCACTTCCTGAGAGCTGCCTGGGCACCAGGCTCGATGCCAGTTGGAAGGCAGCATGAACAACTGCCAAGGCGGTTTTTTTCCCCCAGTATTTTAAAGATAAATGCTTAAATTTCTTGGTTAGCAGAACTCGTAGCAGAGTTCCACAGCCTTTGTAGAACCTGGCCCACTTTCAGTTTCACACATTTCAACAAACATAGTTGGGTTTAACTTAGAGAGGCCTGGACTGTGTTTACTTTAAGTGATTAAGCATTAACAAAGGGAGGCACAGGATTCTGAATGAGTCCCTTTCCCATACATTCATAACTTAAGGAAGTGCAGTCAGAGAATGCCCTACGCACAAACGAGTTCATAGAGGACAGCTTACTAAATCAGAGAGATTTGAGGTATCAATATATAGATCAGTTAAGTCCAACAGCTCAAGTTTACAAAGTGTTGAATGGACACATCTCCTCATTCATTCTACATGGGTATGGTTTTCTGAGATATGTGTATGTTAAAAAGACCTCCAAACTCACATTCTTTTTTTGATGATTCACATATCTAAACCCAGGCCTTTCTTCCTAAGATCAAATTTCTTTGATTTCTACTTGATTAGAGGATTTAAAAAAATAAAAATCTAAAATTGAATGTGCTGGCTAACAAAGAAATTCTATGTACTAAAAATAGCAATAGCTCAAACTGCATATTTATAAGTTTTGTTTAAAAATGAGATATGCAGTGAGCTTATCCATTAACATAAATCATACCTCATTTTCCCCTGGACTTTTACATTCTTTTATACTAAGTCTGGCACTTAAATGTTTTGTGTCTTAATTCACAGTCAACTTCTTTAAGGAGAAATAAGAGACCATACTGACAAAGCTCTTAAATAAAACAACACCCCATCAGGAAGACACATTGAGACAGCAGCACTCGGGCACCCAGACTCAGTGTGAGACACTACAACGAACCCCAGCTTTTCCATGCCCCACAGATGACCACTGGGTGACCTCTGATCAAATACAATCTCCAAGAACCTCTTAAGGCTCTTTGACTTTCTCAGGAAAGCCACTGTCAGCTCACGATGAAAATGCTGTTGTGCGCTTCTATCTCTCAAAACTCCAAATTTGATTTTTATCCAAAGCATCACAAGTTCTCATCTGCACATTAGGGTGGCCCTCCGGTGTCCGATAGGCGCTAAGACACAATCCCGAGTGGGGGTGGAAAATGGTGCCATCTTCTTTAAAATGCCAAATAATGTTGGCTGGAACAGGGAACCCATCTTTAGGACAATTTTGCATTCCAACATGATTTTTTTGCTCAGGAACCTCCGCACATAACTCTGTCACAGAATTAAACCTTATTTCTTTGTTTGAAGTATATTCAAAGAATTGATTGCCTCCTTGACCGTGACAGCCAAACAGTGAGAGGTTAGCACCTGTGGGATTGTTGTCGGGAGAATTATAGTCTAAACACTCAGATGAGATCCCCATACTGCGAATGGCCCCATGCCAGCCTGGCCGATCCTCTGGAACATGTAAGTTAGGGAACACGTTCTTCAAATACCAGTCAAAGCTCTTGCATCTCAGTCGTTCTCGCAGTAATTTTCTTTCTGAAATGTCACCATAGGCTTCTTTCCTGGCTGGAGGGTTTCGATTGTAGAAGTGCTCTTTGTATTGGTCCATCCACACCTCTGCAGCCCGGGCTGTGTTCTGCAGGAAATTGGGGCGGGCATATGGTGCCCGCTTGGGAAACACGTGGCCCACATGGGAACAGGGGTGGATCTCCAACTTGCCACCACACTGCCACACCCTAAAGGACAGCTCGAGGTTCTCACCTCCCCACACTTCCATTCCCGTATCATACGTTCCCAGGTACTGGAAATACTTCTTACTGACGGCAAACAACCCTCCAGCCATGGTGGGCGATCTGATGGGGTCGATTCTTGATAGCCGCCTGTCCCTTTCGTGTTTGGGGACAGAATGCCACTGGAACGTCAAACGCCAGTCAAACCCACCAATCATGGGCTCCCCTGTTTGCATATAGAATTCAAAAGTGTTCCAATCAATGGTGTCGATCACAGGACAAACAACAGCTGTTTCATCCCGGCCAATCCTTTCCAGAAGTGGTTCTAGCCAACCAGAATTACACTCACAGTGGCAATCCAGGAACGTGAGGACATCCCCAGTGGCAAAAGTGGCCCCGATCAGGCGTGCCCTAACCAGTCCCTCTCGCTTATTGGTCCTGATCAAGCGTACCCTCTCCAGGCTGCTGATGTAGGTTTCAAGCTGCGCCTTCAGATATACTCTGTCACTCAAGTCATCCACCAAGATGATCTCCTTCAGGAGGACGGCAGGAGAAGTCTCCAACACACTGTGAATGGTGCGGAGCAACGTGGACCAGGCCTCGTTGTAGAAGGCGATGATCACGGAGGTGGTGGGAAGCCTCCGGTAGTTGAACTTCCTGGACTTGCACTCGTACATTCTCCTGTCCTCTATGTGGCGGTGCAGGGAGATCCGGTCACTCAGGTAGATGTTGATGGCATATCTCTCGATGAGCTCCTCCTGTTGCTTCAGCGCTCCCTCGTCCAGCTGGAGTTTGCTGGCCCTCCCCCATTCTCCAAGCGCATGGGAATCTGCGGGGGGCTTCTCGTACAGCGGGTGGGACAAGTCCTCCACCCTCTGGAGGTCTGCGAGCCTTCGTGACACCCTGGCCTGGCCGGCTTCTGGGGAGGCGTGGAAGGAGGATCCCAAGAGCTCCACCAGCACATAGGCCACGGTTAGCAGCGCCAGCAGCAGGCAGCTCTTGCCGGCACACGTCCACCGCACGCCCATCCGGATCCTCATGGCTGGGGCGCAGACGCGGTCACCCTGCCACCCCGCAGGGGACCCCGGCGCGGCGCTCCCGGCACAGGTGGGGGTGGACTTCCCGGCAGGCCCCTCCTCGCATGCGGGCACCGGCTCCCCTGCAGCCGCCCGGGCCTTCCAGGGCTCACCCGAGTCCCCGTGGTCCCCCGCCTCCGGCGCAGCCCGGTTCCTCCGTCCCCACTTCCTCCTGCTCGTCTCGCAACTTTTCACAAACTCTCCAGCCAACACCCCACCCTCCCGGCCGAGGACAAACCCCTCCCCTTCCCACTCACTCCTCCTGGCGGCAAGTCGGCGAAAGTCGCCTGCCAGGCCCGACCTGCAGAGCGAAGGTTCAGGGTGGATGGTCGGGTGGCCCTGGGGCGCCCCACAGGCTCCCGAGGATCGGCCAGCCTCCGCCCCGGGTGGGTCCTCGGGGATCCTGGGGGGTGCCGCCTGGACGGGAGGGCAGGTGTCCCTCCAGCAGAGTTTGGCCCATTGCGACAGGAACACAAGCTTCGCACTCACCGAGTTGTTTGCCGCTGGGGCTGAAGTCCACGGAGGTGACCGCGGCCTTGTGGCCTTTAAAGTAGCGCTCGAGGACGGGGTCCTCCTAGGGAGGAAGGTGACAGGTGTTGAGAGCAGGTGCGGCCTGGCGCCCTGGGAGGTCACGGCCGCCACTCCTCGGGGGCCGGTCCGGGATGGGCCACGTGGGTGCGGGGTGTTGCTGCGGGGCGGGGGGTCAGTGTCCCCCATGGGCAGACGCGGGACGCCCATGCCCCAAGAGGGAGACGGGGGCGCCCAGAGCACCTCCCAAGGGGACGCGGGGCGCCCACTGCTCCCCTCACAAGGGGCACGGGACACACAAGACCCCCACAAGGAGGCGCGGGAGCCTAGTGTCCCCCCGACAGGGAGACATAGGGCACCCAGGACAACCTCTAAGGGGACGCGGGGTGCCCACTGCTCCCCTCACAAGGGGCACGGGACACACAAGACCCCCACAAGGAGGCGCGGGAGCCTAGTGTCCCCCCGACAGGGAGACATAGGGCACCCAGGACAACCTCTAAGGGGACGCGGGGTGCCCACTGCTCCCGGCACAAGGGGCACGGGGCACACCGGGCCCCCACGAGATGCGAGCGCCCAGTGTCCCCTCAACCCGGAGACACAGGGCGCCCGGAGCACCCCAATGGGACGCGGGGCGCCCACTGCTCCTCCCACAAGGGGCACGGGGCACACGAGACCTCCCATAAGAATCGCGGGGCGCCTGGTGCC